ACAAAGCACTCCATCCTCCTGAAGTCAGTGTGAATGCTTCCTTTGTAGTCTGAGCCTTGCTGCCATGATTGTGTAATCCTAAAGGTCTCTGGCCTGGAGTTAGAAGCCCACAGTGACCTTCACAGGACTAGAGCAGATCAGTAGTCTTATGATCCTTGGTTTCATATAGCTCCAGGTCCTTCACTGAGGACCAACTCCTGAAGGGTAGAGGTCATAATCTTGTACAAACAGTGATATGTTTCAGTCTGCAGTGGCCTTTAAGTACTGGCTGTCATGTACGCTTAGAGCAGATGTTTAGGATAGTAGAGGTACAAGACTTTTTTGGCCAGTGGCTTCATGTTTATAGGGGTGTTCTTGACTCTTGTCCTGTTTCTGGGCTGGTCTCATGCTTTGGGCCCCAGGTATAGTACATACTACTCTGGCTCCCAGTTGCTTCTGTGCAAATAAGGCCATAAGGTCGCCTACAGCATTGTTTCTGGGGATTGTTGAAGCTGTAGATTACATGTTCTTGCCTTGTTTGCAGCTTATGGTGCTAGTCACCTGTTACATGTCAACTGCTTTAATGTCACAAAGGAGTACCATCTTGTGTCCATACCTGTCCATCTCTTGTGTAGATGACTACGTGGCATCGAGGGGTGTGCAGGCAGCATCTAATCATGGGTTACTTTCTCCACAAGACTTAACAAGAAAGTTCCCAAATTCAGGACTGGCTAATTTGTGTAATCGTTTCCTTAATTTAGCTGAGAGGAAACAGTTTCCTCTGTCTTATCATACTTTCCAGACTCAGCAGTTCATATTGTTAGCACTGCTGATCCTGTTTGGACAGTAAAGATAAGTAAGCAGGATGTCACACACTGGGGTCTGCATCTTGCTGCTTTGTCTGCTGCTGTTATCTGGCTAGGAAACACTGACCAACTTGCCTTTCTTTCACTTGGCAGCAGATGGTGAGTTGTGCTCCCAGTGAAACTGATTCCTGAATGGTGGCCTTCTACCTGTCCTTCCTGTGGTGCTGGAATGGGTCAGCTTCTGCCCAAACCAGTGTCAGTGACCTGTGAACTATGCACCTCTGTACTGTTTTGCCTGTGCCTTCCTAGCAAGTACCAGAATTCCATGACTGGTGGGAACATAGTCATCTATCCCCAAGGAGTGACTGGAGGGAAGTGACCATACTGTTGGAATCCCTTTAGAGTTTAGAGTCCCACTGTGTTCATTTGGATGTGAGCAGTGCCTGGGACGGCTGAGATCTGTGTTTTAGGGCACATTCTCTAAGTGTAGCATCCTTGCTCGTTGCCAAGGCAATACCCAGGATGGGCTAAAAGTCTTCTGTCCCACAGAACGGGGAGCTTAATGTGCTGTATACAAGGTTATTCCACAGTCCTAAGGCTTAGAAATTTATTTTACCTACCTCCTTTTCACTCCAGCTAACAGTGAGGATGCAGCAGATAGAAGTCCTTAGCATGGCTGGAAGGATGAGGGTACAGTGAGTGAGGTATCCCTCACTTACACGGCACAGTCTGATCACAGGTGATAGCAGTAACCATCAGTAGCAGGGGCAGGCTGGAGAAAGGCATGCTAGCCTAGCAGCTGTGTCCTCTGCAGGCAGCCAGGGAGACTTGTCAGCTACCGGATCTGGGCAGCAGAACACAGATGGCCAGCCTAGGGGGAGGGAGCTTTCAGAGATGTTTTGGAAGCAAACCTTCACCTTATAAAGGGCAACCTATCAGCAGTTCTTAGGCAGCTTTACAGAGGCTTAAGGCAGCATTCAAGGTGTCTGTGATATCACAGGATTGTTCAGATGCTGTCTGGCACTGTTTGCTTGTGGGCTTCAGTGCTGAAACTTACTCTACATAGCAGGCTCTTGGCTGATGTGGTCTGTGCACTAGTATGCTGCAGAGTGGTGAAACAATCAGTCATGGCCCAGTTCTCTACCTTGTTTTTCTGGAAAGGCATTCAGAATTATCTCCAAAAGATAACCTCAGGATTCATCCTGGCTCTGCCAGTCACTCTTCAGCAAACTTCTTGTGGTGTGGCCTTGATGCCTGATAGTTTCTTCATTATGCAGAAGGTAAAAATGATTTGTTAGGCTGCAGCACTCAAGGGAAAGTCTCTTACAAGACAGGCTTCATAGCCTATCACATTAAATGGTTTCTGTGCTAAGGTTCCTGTATGTTGCTGGAATGCTTCAGATGACTGAAGCTGCTGACCACTAATAACCTTGTAAATGTTTATTCCTTGATACATAAATATACTATTCTACTTGATGTAAGACCTGGATGTATGCATTAATCTTTGTAATCTATGCTGGAAATGCTGAAACTTTTTTTGCTTGCTCCTGAGGTCGGGTAGGGAGTTGAAGCCATTCATCTTCAGGTGTTGGGTACAAGCAGTGAAGTACAGCTTGTTAAAAGAAGTTCAGATTGTAAATCACAGGGAGGAATGGGCTGGTGGTTATGCTGAATCTTACTGCTTGTGAGTGTGGCCTGATTGCTTGCCTGGCTTCCCAGAGCAGGATGGCATGCTGAGCATCAAGGCCACCTCTGCTCTGAGTCAGGAAGCTCTGTCCAGGTAAGGAATTTCAGTGGGATTCTGCCTTGAGGATGTTGCTGGTATGTAACCTAGAGAATCTTCTACTGAAAAGGGTATTCCACTGTTCCAGAAAAGTGCAAGTATGGTCAAAATTATGTTCTGAGTCTAGGCTGTTGGAATGAAGAAATAAGCCCCCAAAGGGAAATGCTGGCTCATGTTAAGGCCTGTTTGAAGCACTGGGAAGGCAAACCTTGTCTTCACTGAAGCAGGTAGGCTCTGAGGTCTCCTGTAAATGGTGCCTCATAGCATGCTCAGAAACCTCAACAGCTCTATGGCCTAAAGGTCATAGAAGTAGACCAGAAGGCTTGTTGCTCCATGCATTGTGGAGGCACAGGAAAATGAAGACAAATCTGTTAGGGTTGTTGCTGTGTTCCGAGTGACATAATAGGCTTTGGCTTGATGGGGTCTAAGTAAACAAGTTGGAGAAGTACTGGAAGGAGGATACTCCTCTCAAGAGGAGACTTCCCAAATACCTGTACTGTGAACTGTAATAATAATTTCTTCAGACTTTAAGCTAACAGGCCTTTTTTTCCTTCCTGTGCTTGGAAGGGAAGGCTTGTCACAGCGATGTGCAGGTGGTGTCAAGTCTGTTATGCTTGGCCATATGTGCTGTTCTGAAGGCAGTGGTGTGGTGCGGTGTGGTTCCTGTTGACAGCTGATGATCAGTCTAGCTTCACTAAACCTACTTGATGCTTGACTAAGTTTCATACTGTGAATTCTGTTGCAGGTGAGGTCTGTATCTGTAGACCTGAATGTTGATCCTTCTCTCCAGATTGATATACCTGATGCCCTAAGTGAAAAGGACAGAGTGAAGTTCACTGTGCATACTAAGGTAAGATCATGGGGGAAAAGAAGTCATGCAAGTAATGTGTATTTGCAGAACACATGCCTGTAAAGATGGGCTTGGCAATGAAGGAAATCTAATTAGATGGAGATTTTCCAATATAAGGTGGCCTGAAGGTGTGTATATATATGCAGAATTTCATATTTCCTAAGACTTGAGCATATTAAGTGGAGACAAGGTAGCTGATCACTAGGTTGGCTTTGCTAAGGAATCCTAGCTTGACACAGGAAGGCTGGGGGGTAGGGAACCAGCTACTGTGAAACGTCACAAAATGAGCTGTTAGTGCTATTTCACAACAGTGCCTTTTTTTAACAGTCTCCTTAGTGGTACAGCTCGAATGAGTGCCAGCTCAGCTAAAAGGGAGTGGGCAAGGCTCTTACTAGGCAAAATAGCTTCCTTTGGAAATGGGGAGAACTATTTCTAAGAGCACTGATTTACAAAACAGTAGGGCTTCTATATCTTCTCTTCCAGACTACACTGCCAGCTTTTCAAAGCCCTGAGTTTTCAGTTACAAGGCAGCATGAAGACTTTGTGTGGCTGCATGATACACTCACTGAAACTGAAGAGTATGCAGGACTCATTGTAAGTACTTACTAAAAAATGTAGTTCTAACTGTAAAACTAACAATTTTAAGTGCACGCTAGTAAGGGCGTAGAGTATGTTTTACCAGTTTCTAGTGTATCATGACTTGGGTATTCCCTATGCTTCCTGTTGTCTTAATTCCCAAACAGCCTGAGTGGTATGGCACTTATGTTAATTTTCTGTATAGCTTGGAGCAGCAAAAAAGGCTTGATGCTCTGACAGTCCTTGATTCTGCAGCTGACGCAGTGAAATAATCCATTAAATATGGTTTCCTTCCATCGTGGTTCTTTAGGGGGCCCTGTGGGCCGTAGAAGATGGCTGGCTATGGGGTGGATTATGGAGGCTGTTCCTCTGGGTTGGTATCCCTCCTGGGGCAGGGATAGCACACCCTGGGCGGGGCAAACAGAGACCTAGGTGTCTACATGCCTCTAGAATTCCTGGGTCATGCACTCTTACCACACTTTTCCATGGCCTGGCAAAAGGGCATCCTTCCAGAGAAGGCTAGAAATAACTTTAGAAAACTTTCTTTACTAGCATCTATTGCTAACCATTTCCTTGGCTAGATACCTCCAGCACCTTCAAAGCCTGACTTTGATGGTCCCAGAGAGAAGATGCAGAAGCTGGGGGAAGGAGAAGTGTCTATGACAAAAGAAGAGTTTGCCAAAATGAAGCAGGAGCTAGAAGCGTAAGTAATATGAGTCTACTGTCAAAAGCTGCACTTTAGAGAAGCCTCTTGGGAGAACAACTTCTTTGGCTATAACTGATTTTGAGTGTGACTGTTGTGAAAGGTTTTTAAAAATCCTGGAGCTGGGGAGTTGCCAAAAGTTTCTTTCAAACTGGAAAACTTCCTAGCTAAAGGGTTTGAGAACAGTTTCACTATCACTAGCTAGTTTCAGAAGCTGCTGTTGAATATTTTCATGGGGTAATTATTTGTATAGTGAAGAAGGCAGTACCAGAGTATCTCAGTCTGTTCTTTCCTTCCAGTGAATACCTTGCTGTTTTCAAGAAGACTGTATCGTCCCATGAAATCTTCCTTCAACGGATTTCTTCTCATCCTGTGCTTAGCAAAGATCGCAATTTTCATGTTTTCCTGGAGTATGACCAGGATGTAAGACACTTGTTTCTTTTCTTCCCTCTGTTTTCCAAGTGAGGCAAGTTGTCAGGAGTGCTGTCTTTTCTGGGCACTGTCAAAATGTTATGTGAATCCATGTGCAGCATCAGCAGGTAGGTATTGTGAGTACTTCTGTGACATGCCTAAAGGATGAGTGCCTGACCTTTAGACCTTCCTCTGTTATAAATTCCGGAGTTTTTCAGTACTAGTCAAATTGGTTAGGAAGCCAGCTTCCCATGTCTTTATCTTGGGAACCAGTATGGCTCAGGTGTACCTGTGCTGTGTTGCATAGTCCTAAAATGGAAGAACAGAAGCCTGTTAAGTCAGTCCTGCATCTGTTTTGTCACACCTACTTATGGGTGATAGATGCAAGATATTTGAGACACTGGGCTGTTTCTGGGAATGGGAAAAATCTGTGCCACAGAATAGTTGGACTACTTCTAGCCAAGCCATTTATGTACATGAGCCCTATTTATACAGCTTATATGGGTATTATGGAGAGCTTGGAAATCAACCTGCTCTGACATATGCTAGGGGTAAATTATGTTACTACATTTCAAGTGTCAAAATAGTCACTTCCCCCCCACCCCCTTGGGATAACTTTAAAGCTGTTTTGGCCTCTGTTGCAGCTGAGTGTTCGGAGGAAAAACACTAAAGAGGTGTTTGGTGGCTTTTTAAAAAGTGTGGTAAAGAGTGCTGATGAGGTCCTCTTCTCTGGAGTCAAGGTAAGGTTCTTGGTTTAATCTTAACTGTTCCTTGTGTCCTGCTCCAGGCAAGTTACTTACGTCTGCCTCAGGCTTGATGCTCATGAGGCTCAGTTACTAATGTTAACCTGCCGTGTTACTGCTGTCCCAAGCTGGATGGAGTAGCTAGTATTAATTTTGACTTATGTAGAAATAAGACATTGGAGTTATAGGCTGTTAAATTTCAGTGTATGATTGAAATGTCTGGTGGATGCAGAAGAGTTGCCTTAATACCTGATACTGGTGGGGAGGAAGGAATTAAACCTTCAGCAAATGTGCTTGTGGATTTTTTCCTACTTTGAGGCTCTGAACAGACATGATTTATGGATTTCTGCTTGCACTAGACACGATCAAATACCAAAGACTCCTGTAACTGGTCTAGCTTCAGCTTTTCCATCATGTTCCCATGGTAGCTCTTTCCAATAGACTTGCTGTCCTAAATACAATGTCATGAAACATTACAGTATATATCATGTTTGGTGTGGATATGAAGCAAGCTTGTAAGCTGCTTACTGCTCACCTACTGTGTTGCAGTAGGCCTAGGCAATAAAATTCCAACAGCTGGTAGCCCTGTGGGCTGTCCCATACCACCTTACTGGTTGCTTCAGACAACCTGTATCAGTGAGTACTGGAGTGTCAAGTTCATCTTCACTACATAGTTGCCAAATCATTTGGATTGTCAAACCCTGGGCTCAGGATCTTGAACTCTGTTCTTCAATAGGGATTGATGGGCTTAATGCTTAGGCTCAGGCTCTGGTTGTCTTTTTTAGCCCTTCCCAAAATAGGGAAGAGCTTGTATTCTGCAGTAACTGACTTACCAAGTCATATTCCTTTTCAGGAAGTAGAAGATTTTTTTGAGCAAGAGAAGACTTTCCTTGTGAACTACTACAACAGAATCAAGGACGCATGTGCAAAAGCAGATAAGATGACAAGATCTCATAAAAGTGAATCTTTTCAAAGACTTTTCTAGAGATTTTTGGACTCTTGCTGATTTCAGCCTGAAAACCTTGTCTTGTTCTTGCAGATGTTGCAGATGACTATATTTATACTTCAGCTTGCTTGAACAGCCTGGCATTAGAAGAACCTACAGTTATCAAAAAGTAAGCAATTCTAACTGTTCATAAACATATCTCGAGTCTGGGAATACCAAGTTTCTTCTGTAAGATCCAGTGGCTTGTTGGAGTTTCTGGAATTGCAAGCAAGTGGCATTAAAACTTTCTTTTCTCTGGCACTCCTGGTGCTGCAGACCTAATGTTATCAATCGCGTCTGACTCTTAACTAGTTGATCTCCTGTCAGTTGTGACCTAGAGCTGAATTGAGCTGGTCATCAAAACGCCTTCTAAACAGAAGTCTCCCTTAATGTTTTCAGGTCACAAACTCTGAGACTATGGGAGAAAGGGTTTATGCATGTGTGCCCTAATGTGCTATTAAATATAACCATATCTTGCACTAAGTCTATCTTCAGGACATTTGCAGTTGTAGAATAGTAGGGGGGTTTTTAAGCTGTGGAAACCTAGTCACCTTTTCTGAGGTGAATTCTTCTACCTTTCTCAACTTTGCTATCAATTTGCCGAGAACTAGAAACAGTATAAAGCTGAATAAACAAACTCGTTCATTCCTCTTGGAGGATAGCAGCAAGGAAATTTTCCACAAGACCTTTATGCTCTGGAGAATCAGCATTGTTACTTTAAATGGTGTCTAGCTGCTCAGCTGTACTCGCCTGTAAGGCTGGAATCCAGCACACTGAACCCTTTGTCCTGGTCTTTGCCTAGACCCTTGTCTGGATCTGTATGCAGGAGTAAACTCCCGCTTTTTGGTTTCCTGCCAATGGATCCTGGCATTTATCAGACTAAGAAGTATCTAAAACTTTTATGCATTTATTTTTCTCCCCCTAGGTACTTGTTGAAAGTTGCAGAGCTCTTTGAGAAGCTCAGGGTAAGAGAAGCTTTGGGGGCCAAGGGCAAAGGATCTCTGAATCTGGATGTTGCTGTTTCCTGTTACATACCAACCATCTGATTTTATTTTTTTTCTCTTCTGCAGAAGGTAGAGAGTAGAGTTTCATCTGATGAAGACTTAAAGCTCTCTGAACTGTTGAGGTACTACATGCTCAATATTGAAGCTGCTAAGGTGAGAACAGTTTCGGTTTTGAAGCCTAGTTTTGTTATGGGCATCATGACTCACTCATGGTCTTCTTTGTGCTTTAAGAAGACAGGAAGGTGGGCCTTTGTTTTACCTAAGAAACCTGACACTCTGAAAGCACAGCAGAATGTAGAAGCTGTATATTTGCTAGCTGGAGTCCAGCCACTTACAAAAAGGCTGTTTTAAGGTCTCAGCCCAGTTTTTCTTTGGCATGTAGAAAAGAAGAACTCTAAACTTCTGTAAGTTAGAGCAAACTGAACTGAAATCTGCAGCAGTGTTCTAACCCTTCCTCTGCCTGAGTATGTGTGGACTTGTCAGTAAAACCAGTGATGACTAATTAGTAGTTGAGATTTACTTCAGGATTTTCAAAGTCCTATAACATGAATATGCAGTAACATGTGAAAGCTATTGGAGTCTGGACTTCCAAGAGGGTTTTGGTAGATTGATTTGACTGCGAGAGCTTTGCCAGCAACTCTTTTCTAATCAGTACTTGATTTGGCAAGGAGGTGACTGTGGTGAAAAAAGGTGTGTAGGTATGACCTATTCAGCCTCTTCATCTAGTGTCATACCTCTAGTGTCAGGTACTTGTGTGGGATACTGTTATTTAGATAGCAAGGCTATGCTGCTGCTAGATTAGAAAGTAATTGGCTCAGAGACCTGTACTACTTCTCATGCATAGGTTAGTACAGTGCTTCAGTCAAACTGTTAGATCTCCAAAAATCAAATGTCTACTGGAAACAGACTGAGGGAATTCAGAAAGTGCTGTTCCTCCTTAGTGGAGAGACCCACCTTACATCAGAATAAACTACTTTAAGGGAAGAAGTGATGCCTACGGTAGTCCTCAAGCTTCCTTGAGTAAGGCATAAGTGGCTGTCCTGAAAATTTAATGCTGCACTGGTGAAAGGCTCCTGTTACTATGCTGAGAGTGTGGCAGGCTGCAATAGCTTATTGGAAGAAGCAGAATCTGGTGCTGAAACATGTGAAGCCTCCTGCTGCTGAGGTAGTTGTAACCTCAGTTTGGGATCTAGTCCTTAAGGCTTTGGTGTGCTATTTCTATCTTCTTTCAGGATCTTCTGTACAGACGAACAAGAGCTCTTGTCAACTATGAAAACTCAAACAAAGCTCTAGATAAAGCCAGACTAAAGAGCAAGGATGTCAGGCTGGCTGAGGCACATCAACAGGATTGTTGTCAGAAGTTTGAAAAGATTTCAGAATCTGCAAAACAAGGTAAAATAGGCTTTGCTGTGCTTATGCTTAAAAGAGATCATAATGCAGCCCAGGTCTTTACCTGACCTTTGACTACTGAAGGCTTCTGAACACTCTCCTGAAGTGAGTGGTCTGGACATCCCAAGGGCAGTATAGATGCCTGTAGAAGTAATGCAGCTAAACATTTTAAGAAAAAATTCTCTGTATGAGAGCAGTATCAGTACTAGACCAACCTTATTTGTAAGCCCCTAGAACTTGCTTTTTAGACTGAACTCTTGTTCTCAGCTTCCACCGGAAGGTAACTAGTCAGGCTTCTAATTATCTCAGTCAGAAGCATGTAAACAGGCTCTGGCTCTGTCCCAGTACAGCTGAGTGCCTTGTACAGAGATTCAAACACTGGTTCTTAGTTGTATTTGGAGAATATAGAAGAGAGGAAACATCTTCATGGTACATGTGCTACTCCTTTAAATATATCTGGGTTTTAAATGTTCTATATTTCTCACAGGGCTTTGGCTTACTTCTGTTTCACTCTGGTTGTCTTCCTCCAAAGTTCTTCAGTCGCAGACAAGCTGTGTGTTTCCTCACCAAGATGTCAGTGTCCTGTCATGAATGTATCTGTCTTGAAACAGCAGGTCTAACTCTTGAACCTTTTTGTGGTCAAATACTGTAACTAGACCTGCACAACAGAACTCATGAAACATAAGAGGCATTACTAAAACTTGTCACACTTTGTGTATGTGTCTTACCTTTGTTCTTTCTTCTCTACAGAACTGATGAGCTTCAAACAGAAGAGAATAGCAGCATTCCGCAAAAACTTAATTGAAATGGCAGAACTGGAAATAAAACATGCAAAGGTGTGTGCTATTTGGAATTTAACAGGCATAGCTTGAGTGAAGTGAGTACTATGTAACTTAGAAGATTTGGGATTTCCCTTTAAAACTAGGAATTGTAAAAAAGAACAGCTGAACTCTTCAGCTGGGAACCGAAGAGGGGAAGCTGTAGGCATAGTGTGTACAAAGAACAAATGCTGACAGTCTGATCTGTCCCATGCAGAAATCTGTTTTCAACCTGTCACTCTTGGGACACCAACCTCCTACAGCAACTGGGAGGTCTCAGTTTTGCAGGTAGTACACAACAGGTCACCTGACTTGCTATCAGGCAGGCTCATTTGTGAGGTTTGATCCCTACGTTATCCAGAGGCAACTGCTGCTTCCAGTGCTCCTGAGTGCTGTGAGAGAATATCCTGCAGCTTGTGATCCAGCTGTCAGCCCTGCTCACCTGGCTTGTCAGTGAAGGGAGATGCTGGCTTTGTAGCAGCCTCTGATAAGCTTTACTGAGCAGGCTTGAAGGTTGCTGCAGATACCACACTGTGTACTTCCAGCTTAATCTAGGGAAGTACACATAGGTTAGAGGGTCTGTGAATTTAGCATAGCAAACAAACCAGGAAGAGGTAACTGTGCATCCTCAGCTTTTGAAGAAGGAAAGTCTAATGGCCCACTCACTAAGAGTCCTGGACTTCATTATAGGTAGCTACTTCAGTGCTGAACTGGAATGTGATACAAAAAGGACTGGACAATAGTGCTCAGTCTGGCCCTCTTTAAAAGCTTACTGCTGCTTTTTCCCCCTCTCCTTACTACGAGCTGAGTCATGGCTGCAGGCCTGCAGGAAGAGGCAGATTGCAGACTGCATGGTCTGGCTTTGGCTCTTTGCTGCTTGAATACTTGTCTTTGCAGCAGAAGATCTTTAGCATTGGTACAGGCTACAAATCCTGGGTTAGACCCACTATTTTGGAAGCTGCTTCATTGTGGAAGGCAGGATTTAAATTATTGGTCACACTCATCTGAAACTAATTCTCTTCCTTTGCAGAACAATGTGTCTCTCCTGCAAAGCTGTATTGACTTGTTCAAGAACTAAGGCGCCTTATTCTGAAAATGTGACAAAAGCATCAATTGCACTCAATGGCCAGGGGCAGCTTATTGGTTTGACTTCGTTAGCTTAAAATAAATGTTGTCACTGGGATTCTGTTTCACTAATACTTAAACATGTTGATAGTGAATACATTGACTTTCTTGGTATAAATGAGAGTTGAATTGTATGTGAGTTGTCTGGATGTAGCTAACATCCTGTTGGCTGATAACTCAAAATGAGTCAAATGTAAGAAATTAATTTGCTGTTGACTGACTTCATCTATCAGAAAAAGTTTATGGAGAACTCCTTTTTTGCAGGATCATAATCTGTCTCTTTGTGGCCCTGATATATTTACAATTTGCAAATGGGAGTGACTGAAGTGTAGCAATTTTATAAAGTAAATATCTTGACATTCCTCTTCCCAGACAGATTTCTACTTTGATATATTTTGAATTTCTTTAGCTACATTCACTATTTGTACACTTGGGCAATACAGCAAATAAAGATGTCTGATACAACAAGCAAGAATTTGTGTGGGATGTAAAATGGCAAACAGGCTTCAGAGACAGAACTATTGCAAACTACTCATCACCTGGAGCTCTTCAGAGCTCTAGAGATAAATATTTGACTCAATAGAATTGTTCTTGGAATGGGTGTTGACATGAAGTATGTGGACTTCAAGTCATGTTGCTGTTTCAGTGGCTGCAACTTCTATTTCGAATATGCTGCACATGAAGGAAACAATTCTGTTCAAAAGCACTGATATGTATAGATGACTTGGACTCCTTCACGTTACTTTACAATGCTCCATATTTTGTCAATCTTTAGACCTCTTGCTATGAACAAGAGGCTGTTGAGAACTTCAGGGCTCCTGGAAGCACAGCCCTCAACAGTCTTCTGTAAAGTAAACCTCTTGAAACTTCACATGGCCAACTGGGTTCACACTCTGAGGCAGCTCAGCTTATGAATCCTGGGGCGTCTTTACACAGTTGTCTACCATTTGGCATTTGTGGATATAGGTCAGTGAGCCATATCCTTCTAAAAGCAGCTTTTTGAGTAAGGTGAGTGACTGAGCCTTGCTTAATTTTATGTGACTAAACTTCTAATCATGCTCACGGTAGGCTGTGTGGCTGTGCTCTGGGCAGACTGCCTGAAGCAGCTTCAACCAGAGAAGCTCTGAGAATGGGCAGTTCTGTGGCAGTATATAAGGATTGTCCAATAGTTGACCTTCCTCAGACCTATTGCTTTTTCTTCTTTCTACATGAGCAGCTCTTAGCAGCCACACCATCCTGAAGCGGTCTAGCTGAAAACTGTCTGAACTTGTCTCCTTTTACCTTTGACAGGACAGTTTCAGTTTGTGGTTGATTAAGGTTTCTGGCATTCATGCTCAGCTTCTGCCCAAGTAACTCAGTTCCTGCAGCAGCCACATAAGTACATTGCTTGTGCATATGTGACGTCTGTATAAAAGAGGGCCTTAGAGGTAGCATTTCTGTCACCTATGACAGATGTCACATAAGATTCTAGCCACTTGTTCTGAGGTAATTAGTAGTCCCAAGCTGGCAAAGCTTTGACTTTTCCCAAAAGGCACACTATGCCTCACGTCCTCACTTCTGTCTGCTTTACCCTAGGCTCTGCTGGTATGCCAGCTGTGCCAGGATGAGCTCTTCCAAATGTGTCACAGTTGCTTCATGCCCTTTTGCATTTGCTGCCAATAGCATAGGAGAAGTAGCATCTTGGTGATGCTGTTTTACAGTAAAATATTGTTATACGCTGGGCCTTTCTGAACCTAGCTCCAGGAATTGAGTGGTCTTTGTGAATCAGTCAGTAACAAGGAACTTGCAGCCTATGCACCTGACTGCCTTTGGACTGAGTCTGAAGAGATTGATCTCTGACTATGTTTATCCTAAACTACTTCAACTCAGTTTGAAGGCTTTTCTTTTTTTCCCCCAGAGAAAGGCTGCAGCTGGCTTTGATGTGGCAAGCAGCACTTTATGTCCTGACTCCAGAAGCAGTCTAGACTATGGTGGGCTTCGTGTACTGACAGTAACTGTGTGTTTCAAGCTAAGTGAGACACCCTTTTTCTGTTTTAAATGTTCTTTTAGAGCTTTATCCTAAGATGTTTATCGTGTGGTTTGCACTCTAAGTTCTTGACGTACTTTGACTTGGATCAAAGTATTAATCTGAACAGATAAAAAGTATGTCAATGAGTGGATGTAATAATGGCTTTTTACTGATGTTGTACTTTAAATCAACTGTAGTTACAGTTGATTTAAAATAACAGCAAGAAGCAGTAGCTGTAAAGCGTTTTGTGTCCATACCACTGTTACTCTGCAGGAAGTCGTTGTGTGTCAGCTATTGCCAGCAGAGTGCATTGCAGTCAGCTTCAATGTGTTGACTTGGAAAATAGTAGTCACAGCACAGATCGCACTTCTGGAGGCCAGTGGGTGGCAGGCTGCAACAGCTACTGATAACCTTCCCACCGTGCTTACCCTCCTACTGAGTTGTAATGAAGGAAAGGCTGCTGCATACTCTGGTTTCTTGCTTGGTAGCTGGACATATGTTGGTATATAAGAGAAACTAGCTGTGTATGTGGGCAGTCTGTTCATAAAGAAGGAGAGAAATTTCTTTAACTAATGTAATATGACTGGACCTGAATTTTCTTATAGCAGGGCCTTGAATAAAGCCTTAGCAGATCAGCATGGGCAAATCAGTTTGATAAGGCAGATTATTGCCAATATGAAAATAATTTTTTTAGGAATATTGCCAAGACTCATCTAAAAGGCTGCTTGGAGTGGGTGAGAACAACTTCATAGATGTCCCAAACAAGGATTGACTAGTATATATGCACTTAGCACATCTCTAAAGCAGTTTACCTTTGCAAGCTTGTTGCTCTAGTTTACAGATTGCAAATTGGCTTCTGAGAACAGGCATGAGCCTTATCACTGTGTTGTAACTGATGTGAAGAGCCGCATACCAGAGATGTAATTTCTTTTCCCTCCATTTGAATGAGGCCAGAGGAAAATCTGCTGATTGGTCGAGTTTACTAAGGTTTGCCAGACATCCGGTTCTGGTGTTGGTGCTGAAGGCAAATGCTGCCACTCCCTAGAGGGGGAAGCATGCCCCTGTCCTCAGCACAAGTGCTTGGGCTGGTTCTATGCAATCCTCTCCATTCGTGTTCCTTCCAATAAGTAGAAGGTCTCTGCTAATCTAGCTTGCCTTGCCTGAAATGTGCTGGAGTTGTTCCAGTAGCAGTACAGGAGGTACAAATCTCCAGCCTGGAGACAGGAAGATATTTTCTTAATGCAGCTGATAGCAGAGGTACATCTCCTTGCACTTTGGTCCTGTGCTTATGGCCTGTGTTAGTGGAGATGGCATAGATAAACTGCCCTGCTGGGGGGAATGTTTCTACTGGCTTGCAGCTGCTGGGCTGTATAGGGTATTAGAGGTTACAGTGCTCCCTTCTCCTCAGGGTGAGTTTGGAGTCTAGCTTTTCTGTCTGGGGGAGCAGCAGATGTTTTTTGTCCTCACAACAGAGGCATAGATCCTGAGTTAATCCCATTACTGTGCTGAGCATTAGAGAGCAAGAAGATGATTCATATCTGTGGACAGCAGTAGCCCATACCTGCTTACAGAGAAGCAATGATGATTGTTGTGATGGTTCAGGCAGGATGGGCTAGAATCAAGTCCTTGGGTGCTGCAGGTATCTGGCTGCCTGTCTCCACAGGAGCAGAGCTAGCAGTTAAGATGGGCACAGAACAGTGGATCTGGATTACACTACAAACCCAGGAGAGAATAGCAGCAGGATAGCTGGATGCAGAAGGCTGCAGTCTTGGTATGATGCTTGCAGTGGGTCAGGTGTACTAAAATGAGAGTATCTTTGGGATGAGTGAAACAGGTAGTGATTGTACTTAAGCGTCTGGCAGTATCTGGATATTGAAAAACCGCAGGTGGGAACCAACCTGGTCACATCAGAGAGACTTATAAATGTGTCCTGTTACACAGGACTGTGATTCCAGGTGGTGCAGTAGAACAGGTTTGTAGCCACAGAAAGGGAATGATTAAAGATTGAGTGTGCGTCAAGAAAGAACTGGTTTGCCCTGGTTTATGCAAGTGCTCATGGTTCTAGGAAGGCACATCACTGATGCCAAGGCCAGTAAACAAAACAAAGAATATTTTCTGTGCCTTTGGGATACAGAAATCCTGAAGAGCTGTAGGCATGTATTCTTTATGCTAGTTGTTGCTGGGTCTGTGCTTCCTGCAGTGGTTCTGTAGCTATGACTGATTTGTGAACCTAAGAAGCTAAAACCCTGGCTTGACTGGGGGGCAGAAATTCAGCTGACATCTGAATTATCTTGGGATGATTACTGATATTTTAGTTAGAGATTCCCATGACTAGTTGCTTGGGGTTTTTTGTTAGTTTTTAATGTGCTCCCGATTTATTTAGCTCCTTTCCATTCCCTTCTGTTTCTTCAGGACTGCACACTCTGTAGGGGAGCTCTGACCTGAGGCCCTGACTTTTAGCTGTTTTGTAGCCTTGTGCTACACTTCTGGTAACAATAAATGTCAGTTTCTCAAAATATGGACTTGAGAAAGTTTTCTTGGTGGGGTATTAATAATTTCTGACTTGCCATCTCTCTTAAAAGATTGGGAGAAGCTGCTTGTTTACACTGTGAAGCAGAGAGCTCTGCAGAATTCCTGTTCTTGGATGTAGTTTTCAGTCCTTTCCTGCTCTCCCAGCACTTTCTGCTATGGTTGAGAGCACAGTTATGAGTTATTTTAACTTGTACTCCTAACTCCTGCGTCAGTGCTTGGTGACAGTGGAATATCTGAAATGGATTTGAGATCTGTCCATTTGCAGCTCACTGGTCACCAGTGGACGAGTGCAGGCAGTGGTGATCCATGTTAATCCCTCTAGCTTTGGACATGTAGGTCACCGTTTCCCAAAAATTGTGGTTCATCTGCTATAAAAACACTGTCCAGTGGCTGAGCTTTGGTGTAGGCTCTGCCTTGTTTTTTGTTTACATTTTATATCACAAAGCCAATGAG